GGAGTGCAATGGCGCGATCTCGGCTCACCGCCACCTCCGACTCCTGGGTTCACGCAATTCTCCTGCCTCAGCCTCCTTAGTAGCTGGGATTACAGGCACGCGCCAGCATGCCCAGCTGATTTTTTGTATTTTTAGTAGAAACGGGGTTTCACCATGTTGACCGGATGGTCTCGATCTCTTGACCTCGTGATCCACCCGCCTCGGCCTCCCAAAGTGCTGGGATTACAGGCTTGAGCCACCGCGCCCGGCCCCGCAGTTGACTTTTATATAGTGACTTCGTATCCTGCAACCTTGCTAAATTCACTTACTCTAGGAGCTGTTTTTTAAGCAAAGTCTGCGTGGGCAATCATTTTGCTGGTTGAGACAGTTTTATTTCTTCCTTTCCAGTTCCTATGTCTTTTATTTTTCTTACTTGTTGCACTGGCTGGACTTCCAGTATAGTGTTAGATAGAAGTAGTAAGAGACAATATCTTTGCTTTGTTAATGATATGGTGAGAATATTCAGTTTCTCACCATTAATTATGATGTTGGCTATAAGTTTTTTAAAGATGCCATTTATTAGGTTAAGGAAATTTACTTCTAAGTTTGCTGAGAATGAATTATTCTCATTGTGAATTCATAATCATGAATAGATATTGAAATGTGTTAAACGCGTTTTCAGAATCTGTTGACATTATATAGTTTTCCTTATTCAGCCTATTAATATGGTGAATTACATTGATTTTCATATTTTGAATTAGCTGTACATTTCTGGAACCCCACTTGGTTGTGATGTATCTTTTTATATATTACTGGATTTAATTAGCTAATATTTTGTAGACCATTTTGAATATTTTGTTGACTGTGACCATGAGGAACATTGGTCCATAGTTTTCTTGTAATATCTTTGTCTGCTTTTAGTATTAGGGGAATGCTGGTGTGATAAAATAAGTTAGAAGGTGTTCCCTCCTTTTTTATCTTACGGCATAGATTTTATAAAATCTGTGTTATTCCTTAAATGTTTGTTGGTACTTGCCAATGAAGCCACCTTGATCTAGAGTTTTCTTTCTTAGAAGGTTTTAAATGTATGAATTCAATTTCATACTTATATGTGTATCTATGTATGTGTGTGTACACATACATGTATCCACACACATCTACTCATATATATTCAGGTTCTCTTTTCTTCTTGAGTTTTGGTAGCTTGTATCTTTCAGAGAACTGACCCATTTTATCTACATTGATGAACTTAGAAATATAGGGCTATTTGTAGTATTTATCTTTTAATGTATGTTAGACCACTAATGATGTTTCCTCTTTCATTTATGATGCCAGTAATTTGTGTCTTCTGTACTTATTTATTTATTTTTTGGTCAGCCTGACTAGAGCTTTATCAATTTTATTGATCTTTTCAGATAATCAGCTTTTGGTTTTACTTCTATTCTCTATTTTTCAATTTTTATTAATATGTACTCTGATTTTTATTTTTCTTTTCCTGCTTATACTGGTTTTAATTTGTTCTTCTTTTTCTAATTTTCTACAGAAGAAGCATAGGTTACTAATTTCTGTCCTTTTTTAATATATGCATTTAATGCTGTACAATTTTGAACAATGTTTATATTTAAATTTTAGTAAAGCCATGTGGTTTATCAAGAAATCTTTCTGAAAGAATGGTGTTCATGGGGCACATAAAAAGAAAAATGTTGCAGAATCATGGAGTTTATTTGAACAAGTGGGAGAGAATAACAGTCTGGCAGAGGAAGAAAAAATAAGAAATTCATGTTTGGGCATGTGCCTACAGTCTCAGCTACTCAGAAGGCTGAGGTGGGAGGATCCCTTGAGCCTAGGAAGCAGAGGTTGCAATGAGCTGAGGCTGTATTCCAGCCTGCATGATAGAGGAAGACCCTGTCTCAAAAAAAAGAAAAAGGAAAATGAAATTCATGTTTGTAAGTGAAACTACTGTGAAAGAAGGGCATTAAAGAGAAAAATCACATTTAAGGTGTATTTAACAATTATGTATTTGTATTTAACACTGTATTAATGTTTAGCAATTAGGTACCTGTATTTTATTTTAGAAATGATGTTAGTGATGGTGATAACCTCTGTATAATTGCCACTGAAAAGAACAGTGTGTGAGTACACTATAAATACTCAAATGCCTTTTTGAAGATATCCTTGTGCTGCAGACTGTGTCAAATACAAATTACCTGTACGGTTTTCTTTTTTCGTTCATGGATGATATGGTTACCAACACAGGAGAAGCCTATGTTCATTTTGCTGATTCTTAAGTTTTTTTTTCCCCCTTCTTTTCCTACAGAAATGCTGAGCCGATTATCAGGATTAGCAAATGTTGTTTTGCATGAATTATCAGGAGATGACACTGATCAGAATATGAGGGCTCCCTTAGACCCTGTGAGTAGCTCTGTTCTGATTTAAACTGGTAAGACACATGTTCTGTGTTCTTCTAAGGAAAATAATTTAAGATAGAAGGGTGTGAGAAGGCTTCCTGGTGCTAGATGAAGCGAGGATTAATAAAAATATTGAAATTTTATAAATGATCCTTCTCTTGTAAGTTTTTAGCTTAAAAGCCACAGTGGTGGGAAACAAGTCCTGGATACAATTTGAAAGGGTTTCTCATTTGTCTCCCTAGGCCTTGTTTAGTGCCAAATTTTTAAAAGTCCTTTCTTCTCATCCTTGGCTATTCCTGTTCCACAGGAAAGGTCTAAGTGACAAATGGGGGAACTAGAACAACTTTTGGGTTTCAAAATATCTGTTTGCTTTTATAATTTCATTTACCACCTCTCTCTCTTTTTTTTTTTTTTTTTTTTAGGCGGGGGTTTCCTTCACTCTTGTTGCCCAGGCTGGAGTGCAATGGCGCGATCTTGACTC